ACATTACTTACAAAAATGTTACTGTTATGGCAGTGGTATTACAGACCTCATTCTGCATGCCTAATAGCCCAAATTAAATCTATTTCCAGAAATAAATGCATATACTAATTTTGTACCGTTTTCCAATAGGAACTTGCCTTCTTAGGTACTCACTGAAGAAAGAAATCAGCGTTTTAATAAGTATGGATGTATACGAAGGGGTGACAGTCAAACTATTTAATGCCTCATACGCTTATTTCATGGCTCAGTGAAACCAGAAATGGGCCACAGTACTGCAGCAGAGTCCTGGAGACCCTCTACTGATCCAGGAGTTCTGCTTTGGTTGGTAGGTCATGAGGAGGTCCAAAGGATACCATAGGGGGAAGCAAAGGGACACCGGGGGCTCAGGCTAGTAGCTATTTACCAACCAGAATGGAAGTCTTTCAACGTTTTCACCACCAGCACCACTGTACTGGAACATACTGGACAAACACCAGCACTGCAGGAACCCAGGAGTCGTCAGTCAGTAAACTACCAAGCCATGGTGTTTTCAATCGCTAGCATGCATGGGAAAGCTGGACAACGAATAAGAAAGACGGAAGAACAATTGATGCCTTTAAATCATGGTGCTGGCGAAGAATATTGAATATACCATGGACTGCCAGAAGAACGAACAAATTAGTCTTGGAAGAAGTTCAGCCAGAATGTTCCTTAGAAGCAAGGATGGCAAGACTTCATCTCACATACTTTGGACATGTTATTAGGAGGAACCATTCCCTGGAGAAGGACATCATGCTTGGTAAAGTAAAGGGTCAGTGAAAAAAAGGAAGACCCTCAACGAGATGGATTGACACAGTGGCTGCAACAATGGGCTCAAGCGTAACAAAGATTGCAAGGATGGCGCAGTGTTTAGCTCTGTTGTACACAGGGTCGCTATGAGTCCGAACCATCTCGGTGGCACCTAACAACAACAAACTAACCATTCACGAGTCATCACTTCTGCTGCTGTGACTACCTTCAGAGCTGGCCCTAAAGAAAAGCCCCACACATCAAGCCCCAATGGTGCCTCAAGCTGTTACCTCTGCGTGGGCAATCCGGTAGTGACAGCCGAGGGCCAGCTCTAGTCCCCCTCCTAAAGCCATGCCTTGGATAGCCGCCACCACGGGCTTCTCACTTCTTTGGATATCATCTACTAAGAGTCCCAGTAAGAAGTCAGAGGACCTTGAGAGGCTGAAGCTATGGATATCAGCACCTAAGCACACAAAGACAAGGAAAAGAGGGTTGAGAAAGGCTTGGGCTCTGTTACACAACAATAAGGTACCAGATGACTCTTTTTTGTTGTTGCTGTTGTTGTTGTAAAAATACAGACAACACAACTTTTGCCAATTCAACATTTTTCACACGTACAACTCGATGACACCAATTACACGAGTTACCTAATTATCCCTAACATCACCGTAAACAGAGACTCAATGCTTCCTCAACAACGATAATGCTGAAGGAGTTTCAGGCCTCCATGGGCCCGTGAGATGTTTCGTTCTTTGGACAGAGACACAGTAAAGGAGTGAGTACTCTGGAAACGTAGAGAGAGTGGATTAGACACTGGTTACCTGCGCAGAACTGGCCATCTGCTCCACAAATCACAATGGCCTTTACCGTTTGGTCTCTTACAGCTTTCTGCAGTCCCTCCTTTATTCCATAGGCTACGGCTTTACTAAAAGAAAGAAAAGAATAATAATAACATGAAGCAAATTAGTAATCAGAATTAAACTTCTACCATCTCTCAGAGTTTTTCCCTTTTTTAACAATGTAAAATTAAACACATACACACAACGAATGAAAACTCTAGAGATTTATCATTAATGCTTCCAGTAATTTGTTAAACAAATAATATGTGTCTACTACGAGTTTTGAGTTGGAATCGACTCAACAGCAATGGGATTGGTTTGGTTTGGACTATGAGTTAGGAGCCCTGGTGGCATAGCGGTGAAGAGCTCGGCTGCTAACCAAAAGGTCGGCAGTTTGAATCTACCAGCTGCTCTTTGGAAACCCTATGTGGCAGTTCTCCTCTGTCCTATAGGGTCACTGTGAGTCGGAGTCAACTCGACGGCAATGGGACAATGAGTCAAGCACTAAGCTGTTAAACGACTCGACTTCTAAAAAAATCTTACTTTCCTGTACCCTGTTTTAATCTTGCCCATTTAGAATCGGCACTAATCAGTTTTAAAATACTATGTACAGTGCAAGGAGTTCATACATGCTAGGGAGAACAAAATGTGTACAACTTATCGTGCAAGGCAGTGTACTGAAGTCACAAAGGAAATCTGTCATATTTGCAAAATATAGGACAACTAAAGGGGAAACAGTCTAGGGGATGTGGCAGGGGCTGCCAGCTACTCCAAATATTTACCCTCCCTCCTTCTTCAAAGTAATACAATACCTGGGTTTGGGCTGGACATGTGGCTGCCCAAAATAAAGACTACATTTCCCAGCCTGCTTTTTGCAATGTCTACCCAAAGCACCAAGATCTGGCCAAGGGGTTATAAGCAGATTTGGTACACATAACTTTGGGAAGAGTCCTTAAAGGATTAGCATCCTTTTCCCTTTTCCTTTAATCCCTACTCCTGGCAGGAATGCAGATGTGATGGCTAGATTGGAAGCAATCATCCTGGGCCAAGAGGTACAAGCCATGTATTGAGGATGGCAGAGCAAAAGATAGATGAATTGGGGCTCCTGGTGACTGTGGAGCATCCATACCATTGCATGACATTTCTGTAAGAGAAATCAACTTTTTCTTGTTCAATCCACTGTTATTTTGAGTGTTCTGTGACTGACAGCCAAATCCAGTTCTACGTAATTTAGGAGGTAAAGAAAAAGACTGGGAAAGAGAGTATGTAGTAGATTTTGCCAAGTTTCGAGTAGATGAGGGAGTCATCCACAGAAGAGACAACTAACACCAGGATTGAATGAGTCTGACAAAGGAAAAGAAAAGAAAGCTGAGAGGAGAACCTCTGGTTATGCCCTCACTTAAGTAATGAGAGAGACTCAGCAGAGGGATTCAGCACCAAGGGAGCCCAAAGTCACTAAGAACTAGGGAGGAGGATTTGCCAAGAAGCAGAGGGTCAGTAAGTACCAAGGGGTGGTGGAGAATGAGAATCTAGAAAAAGTGGTGAGGAATTCCTTAAAGGGAAAAATGATAGAACCAAATTTCAATCAGTTTTACTTTGAAATTCTAAACACTATGGGTAAATTCTTCAGTACCCATAATATTTAGAATTTCTTTAGTACCTAAACCTATTGTTGTTGAGTCAATTCCAACACATAGCAGCCCAGGACAGAGTAGAACTACCTCATAGGGTTTCCAAGGCTGTAATCTTTACAAAAGCAGACTGCCACACCTTTCACCTTCGGAACGGCTGGTGGGTTCAGTTTCTTGGAGTAGGGTTTTGTAGTTTTCTTTGTATAGGTCATTTAAGTCCCCAGTTAGATTTATTCCTAAGTATTTTATCTTTTTAGGGGATGATCATGTGATTCTTTTTTTGTTGTTTTATTTATGTGGTGGATTATGTTGATTGATTTTCTAATGTTGAACCATCCTTGCATGTCCGGTATGAATCTCACTCGGTCGTAGTGTATTATTTTTTTATATGATGCTGAATCCTATTGGCTTGAATTTTGTTGAGAATTTTTGTATCTATATTCATGAGAGATACTGGTCTGCAATTTTCTTTTTTTGTGGTGTCTTTGCCTGGCTTCAGTATCAGGCTTATGCTGGCTTCATAGAATGTATTTGGGAGTATCCTTCTTTTTCTATGCTCTGAAATAGTTTGAGTAGTACTGGTGTAAGCTCTTCTCTGAATTCTCCAGTGATTTTTTTTTTTTTTATTACCTCTTCAATCTCTTTTCTTGTCATGGGTCTGTTCAGATTTTCTGTTACAGTTTGTGTTAGTTTAGGTAGGTAGTGTGTTTCTAGAAATTTGTCTATTTCTTCTAGGTTCTCAAACTCAATTGTAGTGCAGTTTTTCATTGTATTCTGTTATGATCCTTTTTATTTCAGTTGGGTCTGTTGTAATGTCCCCCATCTCATTTCTTATTTGGGTTATTGGTTCCTCTCCTGTTCTTCTTCGGCTGCTGGGTTTGAATCACTGACCTTTCAGTTAGCAGCCAAGTGCTTAACCATTCCGCCACCAGGGCTCCTTTTCTTCGGTACAAAAGGGTGGGGAAAAAAGGCAAAACAAACAAGCAACACCAACAAACTTCTAAAAAAGGCAGATTGTTAAAACCAGCAACTAGGAGTTAAAACCTCAGGGAATAAACGAGATACTCGCATTTGCATACAATAATTCCTTTTCACCTAATTACCTTTGAATGTTTAATTTACAAGAAACCAAACAAAACTACTCGCCTTCAACTGATTCATTAGTTGCTATTTGAAAAACAGACTCAGACCCATTACATATTACTGGTAAGTCCCAAAGGATGTATTTCCTTCTGGGTAAATAAATGATTGCTGCAAAATTAGTCAAAATTAGTTCAACCCGTGCCACTGTGAAGAACACGCTAGCTTTTCCCATTTTAACCAACCCCTACTCTTTTATTTCTCATTTTCCTGTTAATTTTGCAAAAAATCAAAAAAAGGAAGAAAAATAAAAATGGCTGTAACCAATACAGCTTTATTAGATTCAAGCCAACGGAAAGGGACCACAGCCTTGCAGGGATGTGAAGATCACCCTGGTTAAGGACTTATTTGCTTCCCTCCATACTGTCAGACAAGAACAACCCACTGCTGTCGACTTGATTCCAAATCATAGCAACCCTACAGGACAGAGTAGAACTGACCCTTAGGGTTTCCAAGGAGCGGCCGGCTAGTGGATTCAAACTGCTGACCTTTTTTGGTTAGCAGCCAAGCTCTTAACCACTGTGCCACCAGGGCTCCTTAATACTGTCAGGCCTAGAGAAATGGACTCTGGAGTAAAGGTTACCATTTCATGTGTCCTGTGACCAAAATTCTTTAGCTTCTTTGACCACAGGAGGTCTTTTTTAGATAGTTTTTTGTTTTGTTTTTAAACTAAAGTTTACCACATCAAGTCTACGGCCTGTGACCAGCATTTAAAAAAAAAGAAAACAGAATAAACTATATCAAACTGTATCATATGTAAGGATAAGTTTTGTTTCACAAAACTTTGGTTTTAGTTACGTATTTGTATGTATGCATGTCCTGGGTTGTCATGTAAAACATGGGTTACTATGTGGATTAGTCAGAAAAGCGTGCAAGCTGTTGCTGTGTGAGACAAGCCTGGTGTCAGGGCATCCTACCCCTGTAAAGAGGATCAGTGTTGATCTTAAAGGAAGGAGACGTGGCTGGCCAAACAAGCAAAGAAGATTTGAAATTATTTGTTTGCATCAAAAAAATACATAAAAATCTCTCAGTGAGCTAGAAAGAGATAACTTCCCACATAAAATTACAAATAAACCAAACCCATTGCCGTCGAGTCAATCCCAACTCATAGCGACCCTATAGGACAGAGTAGAACTGCCTCATAGGGTTTCCAAGGAGTGGCTCGTGGATTCGAACTGCCAACCTTCCGGTTAGCAGCCAAGCTCTTCACCACTGCACCCCCAGGGTTCCAAAATTAGAAATAGGAAGGAAAGAAAGGAAGGAAGGGAGATTATACAAAGAGCCTCCTATGGCAGATGTACTTACTGCTCATCAAGTATCCACGTGCTCCCCTAAACTTCCCAGCCTCTTTGTAACTGTTCTGACCACCGATTGCAAGCACAATTGGTATGTGTCATTTCATGCTTATGTATTTATGAGCTGGTGTGTGGTTCTTTGGAGCCCTCGTGGCACAGTGCATAAGAGCTATGGCTGCTATCCAAAAGGTCACCCGTTCGAATCCACTAGCTGCTTCTTGGAACCCCTGTGGGGCAGTCCTACTCTGTCCTGTGGGGTCATTATGAGTTGGAATTGACTTGACGGCGGTGGATTTGGTTTTTTGGGGGTTTGGTGTGGTTCTCTAGGAGTCCCTGGGTAGTGCAAATGGTTAACACACTCAGCTGCTCACTGAAAAGTTGGAGGTTCAAGTCCACCTACAGGCACCTCAGAAGAAAGGCATAGCGATCTACTTCTGAAAAATCAACCACTGAAACATCAGCGCAGCTCTACTCTGACATGCATGGGGTGGCTATGAGTCAAAATCAACTGTGTGGTAACTGGTTTGGTTTTTTGCGTGGTGCTCTGTTTTCCTTTCCCCTGCCAAGGAGTCTTGAGAGTCATGTGTTGAGACGGTGTCCTCCAAAGATTAAAGTAGCTTGGATTGCTGTGTCACTGCAAGGGAGACAGCTACCCTGGAAAGTCACCCCAACCAGTGTTTGTTGTGTAAAACCAAAAAACCCATTGCCGTTGAGTCAATTTGGACTCATAATGACCCTACAGGACAGAGTAGAACTGCCCCGTAGGGTTTCCAAGGAGTGTCTAGTGGATTTGAACTGCCAACCTTTAGGTTAGCAGCCAAGCTCTTAACCACTGATATTTGGGGGCTAATTTGTTGCTGCAGCACAACCTGACTCATTCTAACTAATACATCCCTAAAGCAGAAAAGTTTCATGTAAGTATTGAAATAATGTGTTACAGAGCTGGAAGAGTAGGACAGACAATTAAAAAATCATGTTTCAGGGATATATACA